ATGAACGATAACTGTTTTTGATAGCCGATGTTCATGTAGTAGAAGCTTTCCTTTTCTTGTGTGCGATTGCGTTGATTAATCAAGCGCATATATAGGGTGGTATACATATTAACGGCAAAACTAAACATGTTCTGCTCGGCACAATCCATCGGCAGATTCATAAGACTCGTTGCATTCACCGGCATTGTCGGGAAAATAGGCCCCACTACGTCACCAACCAAACTGACGGTTGCTTTGTTAGATCCGAATACATAGTAACGGTTTTCATCGTACGTTATGATCGGGGTTTCAGTGACATTCACGTGTAGATATTCTTGTATATAGGCGCGATTGCTAAGATCCAACAAAATTGCTTGATGTCGATATTGCGGTACTCCATCTGCTTCAACATGCAGATTGCGAGTCACCGAATCTTTGCCGATTAGAGTAGTCGCATAAACGTGAATTTTAATATCGCCAAGTCTTACTGGTACGATGGGCAGATAAACAATGTTGACATCTTGAGCAGGGATCCAGATGAAAAATTGATGTTCGCCGAAAGAAGTACGCGGTTTGTACGACTGCACAATGCCATTGTCCTCAACGTGAATAAATTTATAGTCTTTGGATCCCGACAGTACCACTGTTGCCTCAATATTGTAATGCATGTAATTGAAGACGGACACACGAATACCAATTTGCTCGCCTTGTCTACTGTGAGCTGGCATCTCCACGTTTATATAGAAGGGTAAGACTCCGGTATACTTTAGCGTCTTCGGCAACATACCAAACCCGATACTAGGCGACATGCTGAAAGCGGTAACCATCCAATGTACTGGTCTTCGTGGTACATCCAGGTTGAAGATCTGTCGACCATGCGGGCCGATATTGATATCTTTCCACAGCCAAACATTTTCATAGTGCCTTTGGATTCGATTAAATCGGTCCTTGCGGAACTGTGCTAAGTCAGTCGCGTTCCGCTCGACGCATCGCGCCTCGTCTGTGCCGTCCTCACAATCAAATACACCATCGCATTTTTTCTCCAATCTGTAGCATCGACCAGTTAAGCATTCGCCGAAACCCTGCGTTCGATTGCATAGATCGGGTCGTCGGTATAACACAGCATCCGTGAAGACGACTAGGCCAATATAATCAAATGTGCGATTGACGTCAATACCAAAGGTGGAGGACGGAAAATATATCATTTCATCCGGATCACCGTCGTGATATTGCCAAGTGTGCGTGTACGTGCCGTTGGTCTGCTCATCAAAGTGAGCCATCTTTGAGATTACGTTTGCGTATGACAGTTCATTGCCTGCTTGCATAGTGTAAAATGAACGATCGATACCCGATAAAGCAACGTAGGCGCCAGGTTCGCCGTAAATGGCTACTTCGACGCGCTCGCCTGTTCTTGCTTTTTTGTTGTTGATAAACACAGTAAAGTTATTGCGCGAAATGCCATTCACTGGGAAGGTCAGGGAATCTGCAACAACTTCGCCATGGCGGTTCACGTAATACACCACCGCCGTTGCAATAGGAGCCATCTCAGGGCTCAGAGGAATCGCGAAAGTTTCTATATTATGTTGCATATTGTCTTCACCAGTCAAAAGTATAGTGCCTTTAGACATGATGAGATAATTAAAGACATCAATGTAGAAATTAGTCTGTACATGGAATATCATGTATTGACCGACTTTGGGATTTTCGGTAGATGTCGATATCTTGATGTGCTTCATATTCGGAGACTCATGGGCGAGCAGTAGCAGCTCGGTTTGAGCCCTGTAACCCTCGCCATCAGTAAAATGCGCATGAACCTTCATGGAGGTGATGTCGTCCAGAATTTGACTAGCGCGATCAGAATCTAGCCCGAGCTCTTTCCTGAGATCCATCTTCACGACCCACGCATCCGCTCGTTCTAGTGATGCTTTCGGATATTGGATGTCAATGTTGCGACGTCCACCAGATCGCATCTCGATGTCTGCGCGGATTTCCATCATGGCGTCCCTGAGCTGCGTGGGTCGTAGTGGCGAGTTGTCGTGAAAAGATGCAACTAAGTTCAAAGTAAACGGCATCGCTGGCTTGAAGACTTGTGGACTGCCACCAAGAAAATTAATCTTTGTGGTAGAATTGAAGATCCTTGCCTTAGAGAAACCGACGATCACCTCGTCTAGAAATCTCTCGCCCACTGTCGCAACCACGGTGACTTCTATTCCGTCAATCGACGAAGCGAAGCCCAGCAATTCCTGCATAGGATATTGGAAGTGATACGTTCCATTGAAGAATCTCAATACGGGTACTCTCTCCTCATAGAAATTAAGTATCCTAAACCATGATGGATAATACTCATTGAAGTTGAAGTATCTCTCGACTGGTTCGATCGCCGCTGAGGGATTGCGTATTCTATCCAGTGGCTTAAAACTGGCTTTTAGAGTCAGATTACCTCTCACCGGTGCGCCCGATGTATAATTTGCCTGAACGATACCGTAAATGTAAGGATCATTGTCAAAAAAGAATGCTGGCATCGTGACATTGACTTCGAAACGCGTTTGATAATATTCTTCTACAAGGAATGTCTTCTCCTCCACTTGATTCTGAGCTATTACTTGTACGATCCAATCTCCGAAAACCGGTTGATCAGAAAGCTGATATGACAGCGACACTGTACCCAGATTGCTCTGTCTGCTGAGCCATCGTCTCATAATCCTTCTATTTGGATCTAACATATATACATCCACAGGATTATCGTAAGCTTTCAACTCCGTATCGATCGGAATCGTTCTAAAACGTACTGTATCGCTCTGCATATACACGGGTTTGTCCAATTGTATGAAAATGGTCATAGAACGTTGCGAGAATATCAATTTGGTTTCATTTAAAAAAGCTTGGCCACCTGTTAAACTGTTAAACAACCCTTCTATGCGCAACTTATAGTCACCATCCACGGAAGTGGGTGGCATGCGCATCATTAAAGTTTCAGGTATACCCTCCTTTACTTCTTGATGGTCCGCTGCTATTTCCACACCATTCCGCTGAATAGACGTACGCACCATCATAGGCAGCGGGCTATGAAGAATGTTCACAGCAAGTCTGTACACTTGATCTGGTCTAACCATGCGAGACGCAACAACGAAATATGTGCTGCAAATAAAAATATTCGTTACGTTAAAGAATTTCGTATTCATATAATACACTTTTCTATTGTCACACATTCAATATAGCAATACTCACGAGTCTTTAATTATAACGTTTTCATTTTGACCTACAGGATTCCGAAAACCAAAGCCTGTATTCTGATCCCGTTCGTCATAACGATTCCATGGAAGTCTGGGAGTGGATTCTGTTGGCTCCTGGGTAAACTGACCATTTCCAGAAGCCAAGAACAATAAGAGTATCCAGACTAACATTTTTTCTGAAATATATAATTCATTATTAATTTATATTCTATGAAAATATTTGAAAATACTTTCAAAAAATGCTCTCTTGGATATTGTAATGAGTCAAAAATCAAAATGACACAAGGATCAATTTGTGGACAACACAAGAGTAATGATATATGATGTTTTCTAAGAATGTTCCAGAACAGAACTACTGTAAAACTATAATTGACATCACACAAACATAGTTTTAATTACTATTGCTACATGGAACATAATCTTGGAACATAATCTGATAAAAGATGAAGAACAATACAGTAATCATTTTATTTTTGTTTAATATCAATCAAAGATATAATAATTCACTGTATTATACTATGTTATCTATGTCTCTTTGGCTTTGGTTTTCCAAAATTCATTCCAATACTGAAAATCTGTAGTTTACATTACATACACTATAATTTTTCAGTAGTGGCAGCTCGACTGGCAGTTAATTTTGGAACATAGCTTTTGTAGAAAGCATCCAAGCCATGTTTAGATTCTCATTCGAATGTCACTCAGGTATCATTTTATTGGTCACCAAATGTTAAACAAAAACTGCGTTTAACAAAGAAAGTAGTTTTGCAACTGTTGTAAAATTCTTTAATATAATTGATTTTACTCTCATTAAATCTAAATATATAAATTAATCACATTGAAGAATTTTGCAATAATAACAAAGCTGCCTTCTCTGCTGAACGTAGCCAAAAATAAACATGAAACATCTGGGAAACACTCAAAATTAGAATATGCCTCACAGTATCAATTACAGTCAATTGTCCCCTATTCTGTATTAGCCATATTAAAAATCCATGACGTAAATAAATACAACTTTTGACACATATATGCGTCAGCCTTTTATGGGCAATACTCGTGCGACTAAGACGTTGTCGATTTTCTATGTTATTTAATAAGACGATATCATCGCTTTTCGGCCGCTAGTCGTCGATACGTTAAAAAATTACGCGAAACGGAATCGCTTTTGCAGGGTTAAGCGGCGCGCGGCGGTCAACGCCCAAACGCACATTCTTCGATTCGCGTGTCATCGGCGCTCACCTCGGGATCACGATTTTCTGATCAAGTCGAATCCAGCGTGTCAGCGTGTGTCGCGCACGATTAGCATCACCGCACTCAAGCGTGCCTACGAACGAGGATACTTAAACCAAGACGTCAGGCACGTCGGTTACACACATCGCGTGGAGTCACCAGCAAGAGGAGTGGCCCGTTACGAACGTTGCAAACTTGGAGTTTATTGTTACTGGTGAATTGATGACAGTGGAAATGCGCGGGGAATCGAAATCGGAGCCCTCGTTTGTCGTCTATGAACAGCGGCAAGGTTGCTAGCATTGAAATGACTGTTGTTTCCCCTAGATATAATCGATTGTTGTTTCTAGGTTTGTTCGCGTCACATGTTCCAATAATGGCTCGCTGTCATTGTATTCTTTTAGATCATCCAATCAGCATTTTAAATCTGAAAGAATACATCAATAGCAGTGAGCGTTCACTCAACTTGAGTCCACTGAACGCAGCCAGTGTCGCTTGTTGGAAAGCTTCCGAAGAGAGAGGAAGGATGGAAATTGCAAACATAACTTGAGGTGTGTTCTTTAAAGCTGCATTATATTCTACTTTCTATTTCTTTGCAGCAAAAAAATAATATGAATATACAGATGAATATTGAAAAGAGACAGACGTGAGAAGAGTGCAGATAGCTGCAAAGAACAAACATTGAGATCAATTAATAGATATATCACGCGTTTGATATAGGTATTGTACTGTGTATATATAAGATAACGCAAATCGATCTCGTCGAATACTATATACTCGCCACGATTCATCTTTTGCCGGTGTAGATACCTGTTATTTAAGCACAGTATAATTTTAAATAATATTGAGAAATTTTAACATGCATATCTCGAAATACGTTTCATACGTACTGTAGCATTGTTTCCCGTAGATATTTGTGGATGGATATCTGTTTTCTGTGATGGATGAACCACCTGAAAAATTACCATGCAATACGCTAACGTGAGTTACAGTTTATAACATTTTTTTTTTTACAATAGTTTCTTCATCAAAATAATTAACCAAAGTTATTAGCGATTTAATTGGCATTGCTCAAATATAAAGAAGTCGTGTTATTCTATTTGTTATTCTTCATATGTGTGTTATTTTCTTTTTTAAATTTTAATTTTAGAGAATTATTAAAAAAATAAAAATTTATTTTATTCTTAATAAATTTTGAATTTAAATCTTGATTGAAATAAAATTACGTCATTTGTTTCGTTGAAAATTATAATTATAATAACGCATGCGTTTAATGATAATTAATTAGTCAAATAAAAATTGATTCTTTACTAACAGTGCCAAAGAATTGTTATGCAACAAGGGTATCAGTACTTGCTTACTGGAGGAATGGGAGAGGTCTTTAAAGACTTTGCCTAAAAGTGGAAAGAAACATTTTGAACCTGATAACTCTTGGCTACAAAATATCCAGATTGAGAAAGGACTTAAAAAGCGTAAAGATTTGTTAAATGTCGAAAGAGTCGAACGTATCTCAGAATTAGCTAGTGCCGAGTGGCTACCATCCCAAAAGCGAGCTCTTGTTACTAAAAGATCTGGTCAAGACTGGAGCAACTTTGGTCTAGAGAGAAATGGTTCCTTATATTTGCTACCAGAAGAGGCATTATTCCTCATAGAAACAGTATGTTTTCTATAATTTGTATATTATATTTTTTAATAATGCTTCAATTATTACATCATATTTATTTAATGTATTCTCTTATATGAATGTATTCTCTTATAGAATTGCCTTGAACTCATTTGGAATGGATTATCATGCTCGATTCAGCAAGCATATGAAATCTTGATTGATGACTCAGTATGTACCTTGGAAGAATATAGGGTTTATAGTCAATTAACACGTTATGGCTACCGTATACAGCGCTATTTTTATGAAGAGTCAGATAAGTGCAATAGATCGGATGACCTTACTCTTGTTAAACGGAAAATTATTGTTGATCCTGAGAATGGATTGAGAATGTCTGATAATCAACCACAGAACAAGCAAAATGTAAAGAAATCAAAACTAACTTTAACAAACAATATGCCGGAAACATCGGATAAATCTGTTAATCTTAATGTGGAAAAACATGAAAAGACTACAGTACAAGAATTTGTAAAACAAGTAATATCTGATCTAGTAGACCAGGTTGTATGTAATATAGTGAAACGTCATGAAAATGAGCCAGCTACTTTCCGAGAAGTGGAAAATAATGTCATAGAAAAGACTGCAAACAGCGAAGAAAAAAATCGACATTCTAAACCAGAAATAATCTCTGATGAAACTTTGTTAGGCAATATCAAAATTCTCAGAGACACATCATGTAAAGTATCATGGCCAGGTGCTCGCATTCAACGTAACGTGAAGCAGTTGCCTAAAAGAAATGATAAAGTATCATTTCCAGAAATTTCTATAATCGATTCTGATACCAGTGAAAATTCCAGATATCCAGAGAAGCGAAAAGCAGTTTCGCAAATTGATGAGTTACATACGAAAAAGTCAAAGCATGAGGTAAGATATTCTCAAATATATATACTAATGTATAGTACAAAGAATTCGTCAATAATAATTTTTTCTCTTTTTAATTAGGTGATTGAGTTATCTGATGATGAAGTTCAGGAATTACCACGTTGTATGACAAGAATGGAAATGTTAAATCTACTACCAAATATTGCCTTCCAATCGGAAATTAACGAGAAAATTTCCAGGCGATATATACCGCACAATATAAGGCCTCAGAAGAGCACATATCAATATAATCGAACGATGATTTTAAATATGCAGGAAAACGACAAACTAGCGCGACAGAATTGCAAAAATGATAGAACTAATGCGAGACAAAACACGTCTCACTCTAGGAGTTCTCTTGCAATTAATAACAGAAACGCTTCTTTTCAAAATCAACGTTCACTCTTACGTAGTCCATCGCGATCTTTTTATTCCGTAGATCAAATGCATGGAACGCATATTAGCTTGCCTTACACATATAGATTTCCGTTCAATTACTTTCCAGACGTTTATCTACAGAATAGAGTTACGCAGAATGTATTTCATAATTTATTTGTCGCCTTTGGTAACCATGGAAACACTGTTCAGCAAAGAAGTTACACCATACAGATGAACAATTTCATGATACCGATCATAGAAGGGTATCGAACTAGACATTTTTTTACGGAGAATCAATTCCGACACAATTTCTATCAGAATATTTTATGGCAGCAAAGATTTTGTCAGCGGAGAATGATTGAAAACGCGTCGATGCACGGCAGTACACATTCTGTTGCAAGACGACGACACGATGATACTAATAATCTAGTCGGTTACGACATTATTAATCGACCTTCCTTTACGACACGTCTAGGAACTAGTTCATGGACAGAATTAAAGAAAAGATGGTTTGAAGAAAAAACTATTACAATCGACGATGAAGATTGTAAAAATTTGAACGAAAGTGAGGAAGATTGTACCGAAGTGCAAGTCGTAAAATTTCTCAATCCTTTAGTCAGTCCGAGAAACGTATCCTCAATGACAGAAATTTTCAGTAAACTCGCTATAATAAAATCAGCGCCAGAAAGAACTGTTAGAAGGAAAAAGAGCAAGTATAAGATATCGTATAATGTATATTCCTGTACACATCATTACAAAAAGGCGAATCCTGGTCAACCACTGTACAGCCTGGTAGTGATAAGGTATTATCTGGTAATTAAAAAAGTATATTTCTGTACAAATATTAACGTTTAATAAGTCCCAATTAAAAAATTACAGAAAAGAAGATTCGATCTTACAACCTGTTGAGTTAAATCGCCTGCAACAGGATGCGAAAGGTTCTCAAATAGTATTAGCATATGTGTCAATGTCGATATCATACATTCAACCGGGTATTATAACGATGCCAAACATAATTTAACTTTTTATTCAAGTAATAGTAATGTATTGTATAAGTATGTATATTTAATTGGTTACAATTATTTTGAAGCAAATGATGTGTAATATATCTATGTTAAAGATTATCTTGTAAGAATTATAAATTTTTTTTGTTATCTTAATAAACTTTTATATACTTATAAAAGATTCGTGTGTAATATACTTTCTTTAATTTTAATTTAAAAAAACGATAAAAATAAACACTATGTAGGCTTAGATCGAGATCTGTATGTAAAATAATTAGAATAATAATTACAAAACAATGTTTTATATATATATATATATACGTAACGTTATATATAATACATTATTATTCATTTTCTAGAGTTCTAGATAATAGAATCTGAGTATCTGATATTCATGTATCGAACATTTGATATCAAACAAATGTCATTTCAGTTGTTTTAAGACAGTCTCGGAAAATTGGAATACCATTCGAAATGGATTTTAATCGAAATTATTTAATTATTTCCTAAATTCTATTTGCTGCTTTGAGTAGAAAAAAAAAGCGTTAGTGATGCTTTAATATGACTGGTTCTTTCCTTTAGTTCTTTGTTGGATAAATGTAGAAACCAATCATATTGAAGAAGCACTAGTTAATTAGTTTTCTCTGCTGAACGCCAATCCATGTGGCCGTGTCTACCATGTGGTTAGGGAAAACAATCGGAATCTATTCCGACTTGTTCTTGTTGATAGGTGCCCTCCAATCATTTAGTTTTATATATACGTATATATACGCATACACACGACACGCGACACACACATATCTACTGTGTTTACGGTGCGCGTTGGTGGCGGGTTGGTGCATGTTGCGATTTGCGCTCTTATATTATTTTCACGATAGTGTTGCATTGTGTTATTTTACTGTGATATTTTGACAAGCGACTGGTTTAAATTGAAAAAGATTAATGGAGGATCCAGTACGAAAGAAAGTTCGAAAGGAAAAACCTAGTGCATCCAAAAATAATGATAGTGCAACGCAAAGCAATGAAAATATATTAGATCCCAGTACTTACCTAACCTATGATATTTTGAGAATTATCTTTCAATATTTAAATGCCAGGGACCTAGCGAGAGCTGCGAGGGTTTGCAGGTACATATTGATGATACATTAATAATTCTTGCTTGATGTAATCTTAAACGCTTATATTTGATACAAGTATAATAGAATGATTATAGTTCCTGTGTCACATGCACGCGAATGGATACAAACAAGATTTGAGTTACATTCTGTTTACAATGTTTCACATGTTATGTCTTTAAATGTTTAATCATGATAAAATTATTGATATTTTATTTTATTGTCTGTACTGCAAATGAAAATACATACATTATTAACTGAACATAGCATAAAAATTTAAGCATAAAATTATTCTTTTCAGGTCCTGGTTAGAAGCCGTAAATAATGAGAAATGGACTAGAGGCCCTTGTTGCTTTATACAACTTTATGAACAGTTGTTTGTAGATTTTTTAAATGTCGAGAATCTAAGAGTTAAACCATCAGCCGGTTTTTTTTTTTTTCCTGAAAATACACCACGCGATGTAGAAGGTATATATTAAATATTTTTTATATTCTCTTAGATTACAAATAAGTAATTAAAGAAATAAAAAAACCTTATCAATAAATAGTTAGTAAATATTTTATTTTAAATTATGACAACTAATTTTTGATTACTTTAATATACATTATTTTAATTATATTATTACTATAGTAATAATATACTAGTAGTAATATAATTATATTAATACGATTATTTTAATACTATTCTTTTATTTATTTTTTTCCAAAGTTATAGAATAATCTGGGATTGTTAAAATCAATTTTTTGTTTTTGTTTAAGAGCGCATAGAGACTTTACTACCTGAACATTGTGAGACTATAATATTATATAGTAGAAGTATTATTATGGATAAAGAGATGGAAGATCCATTTCCAAATATGGTATGTGCATTTTTGCCACAAATTCCAAACGTGAGAATAAAATCATTTAAAATAGCAGACCATAGTAGTATACAGAAAACAGCCGAATATCGAGAGATAATGAACATAATTGTCAATCGTGAAACATCAGTGACAAATCACGAAACGTGTTTTATGTTATTCTGTAATTTGGAAGGTCGTACAACAGCAAAACGTTGGGCCAGAGCTATACAAAAAAGGTATAATTTATATTTAATCCAAGCAATACATATACCTAAGTAATTATTATGTCCAACTGTTATATAACAATGGCTGATAATACATATTTATTTCTTTTTGCATATATTCAGCAAAGAAAATGAAATAGTTTCTGTATGGGGTGGTGTATTGGAAGATTTTTACGCACAACATATAGAAAATGATGATAGTTTGTACAGAAGACAAACAAGACATAGAATAATTCATAGAATGGATATACCATCTTGTGTTGCTGTCCTGATTACTGGTTCTATACAGACGTGGTCCATTATTTTACAAAATCGTACAAAGGAGCAAGCAGAAGCAAGACTAAAGTTATTTAAGAATGAAATCAAGTTAAAGAAACATTCCATAGGATTTATGTTCATGTGCATAGCTCGCGGAAATGAAATGTATAATGAAACTAATGTAGAATCAACAATATTTAAAAGATTATTCCCCAAAGTACCTTTAGTAGGTTGCTCTGGTTATGGTGAATTTGGAAAATCTACTATCATTGATGAAGTAAACAAAGAAAGTAAGTCATTTCTTTCCTTTCTTAGTGAAAATATCTTTTTAGTGAAAATAAGTCGATATATAAGTCGATATTTTTTTTTGTTTTAGAAAACACTGAGGAATGTAAATGTAAGAGATCAAAATCTTGGTCTAATGAATTCTCTACTGTGTTTTTGATACTTACATATGGTTGATGTTGATGAAAAAAGACGTATGAGTGCTATGTGTTACAACATATTTTATCACTCATGCATTACTTTAGGTCTTGTATTTATCAATTTTTTTTTTTATTAGCGAGATCTGAAAGCAATGGTGCTCCGATATTCACAGAACGAAATATGCAGTATAACGAAGCAATAAATCTGAGTATAAAGATTTGTACCTTATTTTTAGATGTAATTTGCGAACATGTGTTTTGTACGAGTCCTAAAATGATGTTACCGAAGAATAAGAAAACAAGTTATGACTTATAATAATATATTATTATATATTCGTACTATATAATGTTTTTATTTTTTTATTCTTTCGTGTTTCTTCCCAGATAGCGAAACATGTAGAACATATAGCAAGAATTATAGAAATAACAACCTTTGTCGATTTATTTGTCATTCCTATATTGCATTTAGTGCAATATGTATAGCATACAGAAGATCGTAAAAATTATTAAAAAATTAGGATTTTAAAAATATAATTTGCTTGTACGTGTATGAGTGCCTCCCATTTAGTGACACAAGTCGACATAAATACTATTCTATCTTTCTTTGCATTCCATGAGTAACAAAGACAATTGTGTTTAAGAACGCAGTGTTATAAAGACTTTGCTAGCTGAACACTGTGAAACTATGATGTTCTATTATAGTACACTTATTACGGATAAAGAGATGAGTCGACATCCAATATCAAACATGCACGTTTTTGCCATAAATCCCAAACGTCGGAATAAAATCGTTTAAATTGGAGTCACTTCATTCCATGAAAAAAAACAGCCGCATATCGGTGATGAATTGTTAATCACAAATCTGTGCCAAGTCATGAAACATCGGCATGTTTTTTAATATTCTGTAATATTTTGACCTATGAAAAAGCAAGTCGTTGGCAATCAGTCATACGAAAAAGGTATAATGTATATTTAATTCGAGCAACAATACATATCAGAGTTTATTATTTAGTTGTGTATAATTTATGTTAAACTATTATACAACAATTTTTAACTTGCTAACATGTTTATTTTTTTTCATATATTTAGCATAGGAAATGAGATTTCTGTATGCAATGTTTTATCAGGTATTACATTCATATTACATATACATGCTAGTAATACTTTGCACAAAAGACAAAACAGGGGATGAATATTGTCTATTTGTACCATTTGGTATCCTGATTACTGGTTCTATACAGACGTGGTCCACGATTTTAAAAGAAGTATTGCAGAGGAATCGAAGCAAAACTAAAGTTATTTAAGGATGAAGTGAAATTAAAGAAATATTCTATAGGATTTATGTTCATATGCATGGATTGTAGATATACATATTATGCAATTAATGTAGAATCAATGATATTTGCAAGATTATTCCCCAAGGTATCTTTTGTAAGTTTTTATATTGACTTTAACGAAAAACCTATCATTAGTGAAATAAATGAAGAAAATAAGTAGTCTTTTTCTTTCTTTTTTAATGAAAATATAATCTGAAAAAAAATATATATATAAGTTATCGACGTGCAATCGTATTTGCAATAAATTTATTTGAAAAAGATATATTAATGTATTATTTGCATTATCTTACTTTCGACTGTTAATAGTATTTCTTATACTATAGTTAAATAGTTTAATCATAACCAGTGATATCACATACTACTAGTAAAATCTATGCTCGTAATTACGCGCGCATCGACCTGATACCTGTATTTATAGTTAATATTGATTTTTTTTTATTGCACAACTGATTATTAAAAGCATTAGCAATTATTGTCATTAAAATTATTAAATCTAACACAAAAGTTTCACATTTGAGAACAACGTGAGAAATAATTATAAAATTTAATTTATTGCTTCTTTAACATTTTTATGTCTCAAGACGAATAAAATCATGTATTAATTAATTAATTATCGTGTAATCGTATATTAATAAATTAAATAGGATGTAATCATGTATTAATAAATAAGTCAAAGTAAGATTAAATGGCCCATATTTTTTCAACAATTTAAATATTTGTTAAATTGCAAATCTTGATTTATTGAAATTATACAATATATTCTCATCATAATACTTATTTGTACTTATTAAAAAAAATTCAATATTAATTGTGAATGCAATATCAGATCGATGTGCGTATAACTACGAACTGAGCGCGCGGACTTTTCGCGATATACTACTGGCTGTTTGATCGATTATAATTAAAAAAACGATTGTGACCTCGACATTTTCCTGTCAAGATTTTTTGCTCTATTTTATCTTTAGAATACGCTTTGTGAAAGTATTATGGTTGTGAGACATTCTGTATATTATAACTTTTTTTAATTTCTTTATCCCTTCACATTTATTACTTCTGCAGTATTTGTTTTGAATAATGCGAATTGTCAAGCAAGCGATTATCTATTCAGTATGATCCTTGTTTAAAATACACGTATCAGAAAAATAATGCAAATAATTCGTAATACTGAGTTACTTTACGTTTAAAATTATCGGTTAAATAGCCCGTTTCGACGCTGATTTCAACGTCACCCGCGATATGCACGCACGAGATTGTACATTATTTGTTTCAAACTTGTACCCTTTTGAATGTAATTATAATCCCCCGCTTGACAGTACTTCCGCGCTTGCGATATAACATGTGAGATAAAACAAGAAAAACTAGGCCAAACGAAAGGGTACCAGTGTCTTATCGTAATACCGCCAGGATTTAAAAAGAAGTCCGTTTTGCGGCATCAGTAATTTAGTTGTGACCATTATTTATTAATGGTCTGCACAACTCGCAATCAATTCTTTGCTCATAACGATATTAAGTACCGCAGTAAGATGTTACCGAATCTAGTGTGGAAACAAATCTTCATTCTTGTTATATTGCGATATTCTGTTTATTCACAACAATGGGATAGCGGTTTGCGCCAAAGATACGATGGCTACGGAGAGGATTGGATTTTTATGCCTGACGGCAATGGACAGCCTCAAGTAGCAGTGTTAAAGGTCCAAGACAACGAAAAAAAAGGAATATTAGACTCAGAAATAGCTTACATAATTTACACTCGGTATCCAATTACAAGTCCAATAAATAAATATTATTTATAACAAAATGCTATCACATCTCAATTCTCTTTCATTATTTAACCATGGTTTCCGTAATATTCTTATTCTTAAGATCTAATCCGGAAAAAGGCATACGACTGATTCTAAATGACACCACAAATCTTGCTGGTTCCGACTTCAAACCCTCACGAAAAACGAAATTCATAACTCACGGATGGAAGTCGAGTGCCATGAGTACCAGTCTTATCAACATGAAAGAAGGTAGCTTGTTTTTCTAATTGATTTACGAATTCAGTCTTAATTCATTAGCAAAACGGATAATTTTCACTCTTTCGAGTAGCTTTTCTCACTCACGGCGATTACAACGTCATTCTTGTGGACTGGGAACCGTTGGCTGCGAGCACATTTTATTTGGGACCGATGCATAACACCGCAAGAGTTGGGACTAACGCCGCCAACTTCATAGACTTCTTAGTGAGAGAAACTGGGTTGAAAACGGAAGACGTTCACTTTATCGGTACACTGTCTTGTATAATACAATATTATTATTTATTTATTATTTATAAGTCGCAGTTTCATTGGCCATTGATTTATAAGGTCATTCCCTTGGTGCACACGTGGCTGGGAATGCAGGCGGTGCGACGACTTCCGGGAAATTGAGCAGAGTAACAGGTTTGGATCCAGCGTTACCGGGATTCCACATATTCGCCTCCGAGAAAACTCGCTTGGATCCCACAGATGCAGTATTCGTCGATGTCATACATTCCTGCGGTGGTGTGTTAGGCTTTCTTCAACCGCTTGGAAAAGCAGACTTTTATCCAAACGCTGGTACGGCGATTCAGCCCGGATGCTGCTGCGTTCCTGAGATAATGGGTAAAGTATTTCCATCGTTAGCGCAGATCTTTGTAACAGAAACATCTTATTCTTTCCATTTATTTTAGAGGCTTGCAGTCATGGGCGCTCATATGCATACTTTACAGAAAGTATAAATTCGAAAACAGGACTACCGGCTAAAAAATGCGACAATTGGGACTCATACTTAAGCGGTAAATGTGACAATTCGCAAGTAGTACTTATGGGAGAGCATGTTGAACATACCGCTGAGGGTCTATATTTTCTTAGAACGAGATCGGATCCGCCTTACGCGCATGTATCAGAAGTAACCAACAATAATATATCTAAATAAAAATTACAAGCAATCATATTCTTTCAAGATACATATTTCGAAATAATTCATATGACTTTGGATTCCATTTGTTGATAATAGCGAAAAAAGCAAATATAAAATATCTGGCTTTAATAAATAGTAATTACATTATTATACACATGATTGAGGTATAATAAACATAGCGACAAACCAACCATTTCTAAATATTATAATCTTCTACCTTGCCTCAAAGAAGCTCATAAAAATCTTATGCATTAATATGATGTCACTTGGGTACCTGTGTTATTTCGGGATAATTAAAAAATGTACAGCACCAACAAACATGGGAATGACTTGACATTTAAATCGGTTTGTAAAGCAAAGTTGTAACATATTTTTTGCGATAACGATGTGTGGCTGATAGGACCATCACGCTGTCTTTAATGCTCAAAGCGTAAAGATGGTTCAGCATAACATGATTTGGTTCAGGTAGAAGAGTAGGCTCACACTGGAAAAAAAAAATATGATGGCAGAAAAAGTCTCATTGAATTTTCATCGAAATATATATTATATATTTATTATTTAACTTACGGATAATGGCGTGTCCTTGTTAAGGATAACTTGTAGCAGATGCGGCGGCAAAATAGGTGGCCCAGTTATTTTCTCCCAAGGTTTGTGCGGTGGTATTTCTTGACCATACTCCATTTGAGTACTACTGGTAACACCTTCGCTGTCTTTTGCCAGAGCTTGAAATACTTCAAAGTCAGACTTCCTTACAGAAACTAAATTGTTCTTGGAACCCATGCCGTTGTCTACAATTTTCTAACATTAAAACAACAATCTCTTTAATATGCAATACAATGAAGTATGATATGTTGTAAATAATGTACATAAAGCTGTTAAAGAAATGTAACATTCACCAGTCCAGGATCGTGTCTCCATTCTCCATCAACGAAAAATTTATACTGGTGTTCTCCTTCTGGTAGATCAATTATCGTGACGAAATCTCCATGGCTCTTTACCATCGGTAATGTTTTCCATCCAGTGAATGTCCCGCTAATATATACCTGCTTTCCACCTCCTTCCCACTTGAAAACAGTTGGTAGCACTTTGTTGTCTGCAACTTTTGTACCCTCAGATACTGTGTTAGATCTCGGACGCTGCGATCCAAAGTCTTCTCCATCCTGTTGGCTGGTCTATTCATAGCCAAATAAAATAACAATGTAATATGAATATAACATATGTATATGTAAAACATATTTTTACATGTATGTAAATATTATTTTGATATCTTTCGACATTACTTTTGCAAAATATGACTCTTCTTCTTCGTGAGAGGACTGAAATACAAGCTTCTGACTAGGTTTTTTGTCGAAAACGAACGCCTGGCCTTCCTTTCCTGGAGAGGGTGGAGGATGATCTTTGCTATGTCGCTCTCTGTTTGCTGTAGTGCCGTGATGATGACCGACAGGCTGATTGCTTCCCGCATTACCCATTATTATATTTAAGTTCTTGACAAGTGCAAAAAAATACGATATTTAAAAAAAAAACAAACAATTTTAAAGCAAGTAAATTAATTATTACGCAGTAATATAAATATGATGACTATTTCGTAGGTTAATATGAGATTATTTAACATCATAATCCTTTTTAAGAAGCAATAAAAGATGATTGTAATAAAACAGTTTAAAAGTTCGAATATTATTTATTTCAGTCAATGTAAAATTCATTAAGTATAACAATGTTATTCACTTGTTTGCGATAATCTCACCTAGTGCTCCGATATACATCAACGACCAATCGAGAATGTAAACATTCACTGGTGACGTTAAAGCTAGGTCGGTCCTTCGCTCTCGAAAAGTAATTCCAATGCAATTCTATTTTTAATTTCTTACCGATGATATTTAGATCGTTTGTGAGAAACGAGAATTACAACATTTTTATTGTAGATATGTGTACAACACGCCTATCATGTCACAAGACTTTTTATCACTTAAAATAATTATTCAATATATCGACAGTAAGATACTGCAGAATTTCGCATTACCGAAAGCATCAGGTAATGATATCGTAAGTCGATAAAATGGATAATTTACAGCTACTTTTACCACGCAATTTCTCGATAATGTAATCAGTTGGTGATAGAAAATCAATTTATAATCAATTGCGAGACGGAACAAAATCTGATAAGTTTATCGTTTGGAAAAGATACATCTGCTCGAAATTTATTCGCACTTATATAATACAAAATATTCCATATATTGACGCAATAAAATAACTATTTTCAGTTGCTTTCCAAATTATCTGAGTTTTATATCAAAACTCAGATAATTTTAACTTGTGACGTCAAAATTCAATTATGCATTCCTTTTCATTCTAACAAATGAACCTATACAGTCTACATAAGATCGAGATCATGTGCTTTACTGATTGTGAATCTTGTTAATTCAAATTAAAACTTATGTTGTCGTATGCAACAATTTTGTCACCGAAGTAAGCAATTAAGTAGTGCCTTCATTATTTGAGTATAAAATATCACATAATTTTAGACTAATAAATTTAACTCGTATCACTTGCGTGAAAATGGAAAGCAACTATTGAGAGCAAAAAGTATCAAATCATTTATAACATTAAGATTTCGCGCGCATGCGCAGTCGCCATGACAGTTTCGCGCCGCGGCGATCGTGCAGTCGTGTCGCGTCGCGATCTTCACGATTTTCTCGTTTTCCGCATTGCCGAGTGTGAGTTTCGCGTCCATACAGTGCCGGAAATACCAAACGGATTGCCGCGCGATCGTACGCCATATCCGTTCGACAATCGCGGTCGAGTCTCGCCATAAAACGGCATCAACAAGCTGCCAGTCAAACTTTTCGCGAGCAAGACTATCGCGAACGACAAAATCACGTATCGTGAATGCGCATGCGCGGCCATAACAGTTTTCACGTCGCGTCGCAATAATTCGTAATTGGCGCGAGAAGTGCTCCCGTGTTTTTTTTCTCGTCGTAAATTACGCGTTTGAACGAACATCGAGCTTGTAAATAAAGAGCTAAGTACCAGAAAGATGAAGTACTAACCGATCGTGACGTAAGTTTTTAATTCGCGTACGCGATTGCGGTTACCACGTCGCGTCGTTCTAGTTAAAAAGCAATAAACAAAATGTCGAGAGTGCCGAAGTACCGAGTGACTGTCGTATTCGTGTAATTGCGATCGTGTTGTATCGTGCCATTTTCGTGATCGTGGGTAAGTGCTTGTTTTCGTAACTTTGTAGGGATAGACTGAAATTTAGCTTTAGTACGATTTAGTTTTGCCTTGTCAGTCAATTACATTCTCGATTTGTCGTGATGATATCCGAGTATCTGAGGGTCGAGTTTGTATTTTCAAACAAGATGAAAATTACAAAAGCAAGCAAATTTACTAGATGTTAACCAATAAATAATCAGTATTCTAGTAAATTCGTTTATTTTTAATAAATTTTATTTTTAATTTTTTTAAATAATTAATTTTATAATTTTCACCTCATTTCAAAATACAGAATCGATCCCCAGATAAGATTGTTACAAACAAGCGAATAACGTTTTTTGAAGTAGACGATCCACCTGCCTGTCCCTTTTAGGAAATTTATTTAATACTATTACTGGATAATTAATCATTTATTTTGAATATTAAAAATACTGCTAACAGTACCTTTGATAGATAATAGATATAAAATTTAATATTAGTACTAGCGAATTAATCATTTATTTTGAGTATTAAAAGTACTGTATAAGTACTTAATAATACTTTTTGTGTAATAAATACTTTATTACATAATAAATACTTAAAATAAATGATTAATTGGTAGGTACTAGTATCAAATTTCTATAAGAGGCGTTCCACTTGGCACAACGTTCATGGAATTAATTTTTTATTCTCTTGTTGTTTATTAAACACAAATGATGCTCGCGAGCGTTGTGAGTGCCAAGTGGACCGCATCTGTAATGAGTTTTATGTCGATTAAATTAAGTAATAACTCGATCTTCAAATTTATTCATTATTATTATTTTTTAGCATGATGACTGGAAAATACGAGCGGCAAGAGCGACTACAGCGCAGCGATGCCAGCGACTTGTGAGTTCAACTTATTTCACGTATAATTACATAATTAATTGTTTATTTATTCGTGTGTTTTACGACGCGATCACATCCGGTTTTTTAGACGTAGGGGCGTTACATAGAAGATCAAATATTAAAAAATTTTCTACACCACATTGATGTCGCTTGTACTTGGCAAGTGTATCGCCATTGCGGCGCCAGATCGCAGCACAGTTAGTATTTTCGCGTGCACGATAAAAAATTAATTTACTGACGGGAACCGAACACAAATTTGGGATGATCGCTCGGGCTTGTTCCTTTCGAAAAATTATTGCAAACTATTGTTTTGCATTAACGAGACGAATTTAATTGAATCGAAATGAACTCCGCTTTTTCCACGTTTTCCTCTAAAGTTATCGAAATCCGTTTTTCAGCGTGAGGAATGTTGTTTATGGTAAAGTTACCGGTAGATATATCGGTCGTCGTGTTCTTCTTCGTTGCACATTTTTACTATCCCCCTCTGCTTCGCTTCTCTCTCCCTTTCCCCTTCGTTCAATTTTATTTCTTCCCCTTACCCTACCTCCCCTCCCTTTCTCTCTCTCTCTCTTTCTCTCTCGTCAACTTTTTCGCCCGTTTCCTGCGCGAATTTATTATTTATAAAGGCGAAAGCACACCCCGGGCATGTTTCGTCCTTCGTAGCCGACGGCTATACGCGAGAGCGCTTATATCTCGTGGCTCGTGTTACTCGCTCCACGCGGCTGCGAGGTCAGTCCGGAGGGGTGGACCGCGGCTTTTTACATGCCCCCGTGTATTAAATATCCTGCAATAACAGTAATTACGGTTACGGTGCTTTGCGAAATTGCGCGGCTACTTCACCGCGGCCGCCTGCGCGGCCTGCGGCCGGGCCCGCGAACGCGAATGTGATCTTCTTATGGGCGGCGGATATCACGTGGACAGTGTACGCCGATTCCGGAGCGAATTGAGCACTCGA